ACAATATAAAACGTAATTGTTGCTGCGCAATTCAGAAGACCGGTAAATAATTTGCATGGACCATCAATGTAAAAATCAATGTTAATACATAAATAAAATACGAGTAATAGACATCAAAGTGTTTTGGCTGAAGCCCGAAACTTTAAGGGTGTCTTGTGAATTGTATCAATTGTGAAGCCGGCGGACATTAAATTCCTGGTAGATCAAATGACAATATGTTGAAAATAAACACGTTGACGTTGTAGCTAGGTGGCCGTCGACAATGTCCGGCAGTGACTCAATTGGCCAGCGAATGATGCGCGAAAACACGTCACTGCTGTTAATTTCCTTTTGTTTCTTTTTTTAGGTTAATTCACATTGTCGATTTGCATAAAACAATAATTGAATTGGCTGGAGCTACAACTGGTGAGATTTTTAAATTATTTCAAATTACGGTATTCCATTGCAGGTCACTTTAACTATAGCTTCTATAATCTGCATTGTATTGTACTTGACAGAGTCTGATATTGATGGTATGGATTTGTGGAAGACAATCTCAAAAGGTGAACCATCGCCAAGAACGGAATTTGTATATAATATCGACGATAACGAGTTGTCCCCTGGTGCTGCCATCAGGTAAGTGTTAATACAATGCGCTTTGGTGGGTGTAACTATGTTCAAATTTGGTTTGTAAATCTTGTATACTTCCATCATATGCAAGATGGAAACAGTGCAAAATATGTCACATTGATGAACCAGAATGTACCAGCCATTAAATACAATCCTTATCAATGACGTATACAGTAAGAAACTGTGCTATTTGTTAGGTGTGTTTTCGAGTTTGTGTAAGTTTCATTCATTGAGGCGCGTTGAATGCCATTGTGAACGACCAAGAGTCATGTATACACTTTATTTCTAATATTTGTGCCTCTTTATGTGGTTCGTATAAATTACAAATAAATGAATTATACTGTTTTTTGACTGTCAGTTGAATAATAATATTGTGCTACATACAATCTCATCCTGACTCTTGTTCCGCGTGTTTTTTCAGGGTTGGGGATTATAAATTGATTACAGGAAACCCGGATTTATTGTATCCTTTTCGATTGTTGAACAGATCGGGTAAATATGTTTTTAATATAACTCAATCGATTCAATATGCAGAAAAATTACTGAATGTTTGGCATAGTGTGGACACTTAAGGCAGTACATTGTCAATTTATGTATTTCGATGGTAATTGCTTAATGTAGTGTATGTCAATTTATTGGTATTTCAGGTGATTGGTACAACTATGGTGACGAGCCTATTAGCGGGTTTCCCATTCCTCCAACTGGAAATGAACCACCCCCAGCAAACGTGACATACTTGTTCAATATCATAGGTATGACTGACGTAACTTAGGTTGGTCGTGTGATCTTGGCATGTATGGCTTGGATTGCGATGATTATCGCATCCTATAGCATAGTGTATGGTTCTGTGTTTTTTTTTTATTCTGAAGAGCAGAAGTGATCTTCTCGAGCAAATCAGATAATACCATAATTTCACATTCGAAATCAATCAGGAACGGCTAGAGAATGTCTATGTTGTATTCAGTCGAAATCTGACCATAGTCTGGTCTTGTCATCATTACTTTCAAAGAGGTAATTGAACAAACAGATTCATGGTAGTAAACAGCTTTAGTTAAGGTATACTTGTATACCATTATAGATGAAAATAGACACTTACATGTAACCCTATTGTGTTTAACAGCTTATCTGATTTGACTTAAGGTTATAAGCACATATCCACTTCCAAAACGCATTTTCCATCATATCTAAAAATTGAAATTTATTTTATCATGAAATATTATACGGTATTTAACAACACGATGTATTTTTTCAATGCAGATGATCCCGAGGAAAGAAACAATCTCGCCGAAGTATTTCCCAACAAAGTAGAAGAATTACGTCATCGCTTGGATGAGTATCGTGAACACCTAGTTCCGCCTGGACCCCGAATATTTGACCCAGCGGGTGACGCCGTGAATTTTGGTGGTGTGTGGTCGCCTGGCTGGTGTTAGAAATAATGATGATGCATATACCATGCTACGTGTTTTCACTTCCAGTCTTATCAAACATAGTAGACTAGATTGGGATTAAGAGGCTCTGAGTAGATTAAATATTCAAAACAATATAAACCACGTGTCTTTTTTATTTAACAACACAAGAGTTCACTTGAATTGGGATGCATGCTGCAGTCATGGTCGAACAATATTAGCATCATATATCATATACTTGTGCTAAAAATTATCTGGGTCTTCTGGGAATTTTTAATATTTTATATTAGTTTTTTATTTTGAATTCCATATTACAATATATGCATACCATTCTATTTATATATGTGAACCAGACCACTCCCATACTACTACAATACATGCTTACCATTCTATTTATATATGTGAACCAGACCACTCCCATACTACTTCAATATATGCATTCCATTCTATTTATATATGTGAACCAGACCACTCCCATACTACTTCAATATATGCATTCCATTCTATTTATATATGTGAACCAGACCACTCCCATACTACTTCAATATATGCATTCCATTCTATTTATATATGTGAATCAGATCACTCCCATACTACTACAATATATGCATACCATTCTATTTATATATGTGAACCAGACCACTCCCATACTACTTCAATATATGCATTCCATTCTATTTATATATGTGAACCAGACCACTCCCATACTACTATAATATATGCATACCATTCTATTTATATATGTGAATCAGACCACTCCCATACTACTTCAATATATGCATACCATTCTATTTATATATGTGAACCAGACCACTCCCATATTACTATAATATATGCATACCATTATATTTATATATGTGAACCAGACCACTCCCATACTACTATAATATATGCATACCATTTTATTTATATATGTGAACCAGACCACTCCCATACTACTATAATATATG